AGTGAGGCAGCTTCCCCAGAGTGGACAGGGGACAGGCTTTTGGCTTAGGTCTCTGACCAGAGATACCAAAGGCTCAGTCTTCGCCACTGGCCTACTAATCTGCAAAAAAGCCTAAGTTCGCAAGTTTGCAAAACATGCAGAGTTGGTCTGTAGGGGTCCCTGTCAGAGGGGATCCAGGTAGAATGAACCTGGATAGGCAGAGGGGCCTGATGGAAGCTAAAGTGCTGGGAGTGAAGTTGCTCCATTTCTTGGGGAGGTTGTAGGGACAAAGGAATTTTATCTTCAGTCTGAAGTTCTTGCTTCCTTCCTTGTCCCCTGAAACTTCTGGGCCCTCAGGTCACATAGGCCCATGTTTTCTCATCTGCTCATCTCCCTCTGTCTTTCTGTCTGCCTCCATGACCAGTCCTGCCTGCCAGGCTGTCTGTCAGCCTTTCAAAGGAGAAGGACTCTGTATGACAACATGAGGGATGGTGGCAGAGTTTCTCTGCTCACCATCCAGAAAGGTGCATGCGGTTTGAGTGTGGAGGGTAGGCAGTTCGTAGAGGCAGGCTGGGAGGACAGCCATGGCCATCAGGGGTTTCCTCCTCCCTGCCAGTTCTGCTTTCTGTCATGTGAGTGGCCCCTCTTATACTCAGCGGAATAGCTGGCAGTGATAGAAAGGAGATTACAGCTGTATTTCTGCCTTGAAGCTTTCTCCAGGCTGTTGGGAAACAAGTAGAACTAGGTAGTTGTCTGTTCTGGGAAAGGAGAAACATGTATATTGTACCCTGAAGCGGTGCCCTGTGTGGGGGCATGCTGGCGTCACCTCTGATCGTCCTTCCTCTCTCAAATGTGTGTTTTATTAATCCCTGAGTGGGGAGCAGGGTTGGCTTCTCTTCCCTAATACCGATGTGATTTCTCTCTGAGGAGTCCCAGCTCCTCGAAGCCGTCTTGGGATGGGGGTGGCAGAGGCTCAGCTAGAGCAGAAAAACAAGGAGCACTTGGCTGTGGGAAGACAGCAGAGGGAGCTGGCCCCTCAGTGCCAGGAAGGACAAAATGAGAAAGAGGCAGAGGCTGAAGGACACACCAGCTGGGCAGGGCTTCCTCCCCTTTCAGCCCCCCAACCTTTCCTGCCCCTGTGGGCTTTGACAGAGGAGGGGACCCTGAGGCTGACAGTCAGAAGCAGCATCATATACATTATTTCTTTACCTTCTATCTTCTTCACTAGATTGTGAGCACCTCGAAGACAAGGGGGCAGGGACGAGAGAGAGAGAGAGAGAGAGAGAGAGAGAGAGAGAGAGAGAGGGTGATTCATCCTTCAGCACATGGTAGATTCTTCATACATGGGAGCTAAATTGAAGCAACTTGCACCTGCCCAGAAGAGGGGAGGAGGGAGTAGTAAAAAGCTACCCAAGAGCAGATCTCTCATCTGCCAAATCAGCCTTAGACACCTGGAAAACAAGGTGGGGGAGGCTGATGGTAGTAAAGCTCCCAGGGTGCCCCAACCCACCTCTGCCTTTGCCTTCAGGGAGTCCAGTGTTGATTTAGCACTCACTACAGCAAGCACAGTCTTTGGACTGGTAAGAAATACAAGAGCAAAAAGAAACGAAGCACTTGGAAGAACAAAATGTCTGGAGTCAGAAGACACAACACTTGCTGGCTGTTTTCTTAGGCAAGTCTTGTGCTTGACTTTGCTAAGCCTCATCATCCATGTCTATAAAATAAAAACAACTACCTGGCAAAGGAAAAGGCGTCTCTTAAATGATGCAGAAAGGATGTAAATGGGTGTGACCTTCCTGCAAGTAACTTGTAAAAATTCTTTAACATGAACATACCTTCAGACTCAACAATTCCACATATAGAAGCCTATCCTAAGAAAACAATAAAGTCTGGAGCAAAAGTTCACTACAAGAATTGTCATTATTTGCTTGTAATAGCAAAATCTGGAAATAACCTAAACAACAAATGTTAAAAAGGTATCTGAGTAATTATAGTACATCCATAAATGGAATGCCATCTAGCCATTAAAGTTTTGGGGTTTTTTTTTGAGTTGGAGTCTCACTCTGTCTCCCAGACTGGAGTGCAGTGGCACACTCCCGGCCACCACAGCCTCGACCTGCTGGGCTCCGGCGATCCTTCCGCCTCAGCCTTCCAAGTAGCTGGAACTACAGACGTGCGCTACCACACCCTGCTAATTTTTGATTTATTGTAGAGATGAGGTCTCATCAAGTTGCCCAGGTGGGTCTCAAACCCGCGGGCTCAGGCAGTTCACTCACCTCAGCCTCCCAAAGGCACGGGATTACAGGCTGAGCCACCGAGCCCGGCAGCCATTAAAATTATGATACATATTTCCCATACATGCAAAGGTATTTATGATATGTTGTTAAATATAAAGGACTGTTTACTTAACAGTCCATATAGTATGATACTGCTTTTAAGAAATAAGCATTTTATTCCAGATATCAACTGTGGTTTATCTTTGTATTGTAGGATTACAGTTAACTTTTTTCCACTTATTTGCCTATTTTCTATAAGAAGCATTTTTTATTTGTTAAAGGTAATAAAATTATTATATTAAAATGCCTACTTCTAAAGTTTGCCTTAAGAGTTAAAGAAAATATTACACATGAAAGTATTCTGTAAACTGAAAAATTATATGGATTTAAGATAGGATTTCTGCCCACGAGGAGCTTACAGTTTGGAAGGAGATGAAAGATAGCTGAGCTAATCCTAACATGAGATAGAATGTGACAAGAACTTTCAGAGAATGACAAACAGCGTGTTACTTGGAAGGACAGAGATGAATTACTTCTGGCTGTAAAGGGAAGCAGCCAGAATGTTTGGGTGAACATTGAGGAATGGTCAGGTCTTCTCAGATAGAACCAAGGCATTGAGGGAAGTGGGAAATTGTGAGACAGGTTTGGAGAATGGAAAGTGTGGTGTGTGAATCGAGGGTGGAAAGTCTCTGATGCAGGGTGGAAGAGTCTAGAAAGACAGTCAGAGGCCAACTGTGGGTACCCTGAAGGCTGTACTTGGCATAATGTAATCAACAGATGTTTGTTGAATGCCTCCTCTGAGCCAGGCATCATTTAAAATTCTGGAGTAGGTGGTGACACAGAGGTTAGCCCATCAAGGGCAGTGAGGCACTCATGGCTGTGTCGGCAGTGCCTGGCATGAACTAGGTTCTGGAGGAATATGAATGATCACCTGTCCGGGAAGCTCAATCTATAAGCAGTGGTATAGGGATGCTCTGGGAGCTGATGGTGAGGATAAGGAGGGACTGTGGCCAGCATGGCCAAGAAGAAGGGCCCTCTATAGGTTGTGCCACTGGGAGAGGCAAGGAGGGAAGATGTTCTTTGGCCCTGGCTGGAAAGGGATGAGAAGTGAGGCAGTGATGGAAGAGAGAAAATTAGGTGAGGCTTGGAGAGGGGATGAATCAGACATGTCTCCCAAGTTTGTTATTACGGAGTTCACAGACAAGATCACATGGAGAAGGAATAGCATGCAGGGAGTGAGACAGGAGTAATGTCATGCTCACAACAACGAGGACAATACCCTCCCGGTTGGTCCCGATTTCTTGGGCTCCTCCAAGTGATGCCCCAGGGCAGGCACTGGCCAGAAAAGCCTGAGACTCTTGCTGCTTTGACTGTCTCAATATCCTTATTTCCTCTTGAGAGGAGTCTAAGGTGTGAAGAAAGGACGGGGGCTTTTGTGAGTGGAAATTCATGAACCACCCTGCCTCCTCTTGGAGTTTCTCTCAGCCAGTTCTATTCCCCTAGTGCACCCAGCTTCTTCTGCCCTACAACTGGGAATTTAAACCTCCCTTAGGATCCTGGACACTATCTCTCTGCCACTCTTATCTCCCAGCAGGGCCTGTGCCTGCACATGCACACACACACACACACACACACACACACACACACACACACACACACACACACACACACATATCCTGGAGTCTTGTTCAGGCAAATGTCTAAATTTCCATTTTCCCTCCTCAGCTTCTAGCCTGGGCCACTCTTTAGCTCCTCCTGTTGTCATGTCACTAGTTAATTACATTCTTTACTGAGGTGCAAATGTGTTTTTACAGGGAGACTAAGATGGTGTTAACTAGGAAGGAACTGTTAATGTTAAAGATGCATTTACCTCCGGTGCAGGGCTGTGGTTGGAGGTGCCTCCCAATGCTGCCTTGGAAGTGCCTTGGAAGTGCCCCCCATGCTGCCTAGGCCTCAGAGCGGCCCTCTGCTCCCCGTGACCCTGCCATCCTGGCTCCAAGAGCAGCCTCCCCGGGGTCAAATTAGCAACTCATCCAGAACTGTTGGGCCAGAGCTTATGGCAGTGCTGACCACCCCATCTCCATTTGCTGACACCATGGTCCATTTCAAATATTGAGCAACACAATTAATTCACATTAATCCAAAAATAAATAAATAAGTCGTGCAGCCAAAGTCACCCTTAGACCAGAGGTTGTCCTTCGCTACTAATTGCTGCTTTTGGTCCATTTCCCTCCTGACTCTCCCTCCCTGTTACCCATGATCACCCCATCAGTGCCTCTCCAGACCTCCAGCCAAAGCCTACCATTATGTGGATCAGAAACTTCTCCACATACCTGGAAAAGTTATCATTGCCACCCCTTTCTCTGAGTTCGCCTATGATCTTAAGACAAGATGTCAGCTATGGAGTTCCAGTGCCCAGAAATCATTCACAGACACCTGCCTACACATAGGGGAGAGGGTCGCACCTGACTCTTGGTGTCAGGAAATCAGACAGGCAACAGCAGGGTGCTTTCAATTTTAGGGTTTGGGCCCTAAAGTGGCTCGGGGGACCTCAGCAACCATATTTAGAGAGTGTTGAATGGTAAATATGGTAGAAACATCTGCAGAGGAAATAGAATCTATCCCTTAAAGAATGGAAAATACCCTGGGCAGGAAAGGGGTGAACAGAGCCCAGGAGTCCCCTCTTCTCTGATTGCCCCTGCCTCTTGCCTTCTGTGCTGAGAGCTGCTCTGCCCTTATTTGCAGGTGCTTTGACTCTAGCTGACAGGAAGAATTTCTGGCCCAACGGGAAGTGAGAAGAGGGGAGTGAGTCTCCTGAGGACCATCCCAAAGGCCACGGGGATCACCGAATAGTAAGAAATGCTTTTTTGTCCTCTAACACATAGTTAAATCCCCCAGGCAGATTATCTTTTTTTCTGAAAGCCTCTAGAACCAGCTCAGAACATGAGCTGACCCTTAGCATATACAACCTTGGAAAGCAAAACGTGTTATTTTTTCATGACTTTATGTTACCTCCTTAGCTCCTTGAGGATGAGGGCTGGCCTTATCCCTCTATACCTCTCTTTTTTTCTATGTGTTCTGGGAATAATAAATGTTTGTTGATACAGATGGATGGGGCATTGCTTGCACCCATGATGATGATGGCATTTGTGCATCTCTGGGGCAACCATTATCACCTAAGGATGACCTGAGGGGAAAGGGTTGTTGAAAATGCTGTTCCTGGACCCCACAGCCAGAGATTCTGATTTTGTGAGTCAGTGTTAAGATCCAGGAATCTGTACCCCAAGTGTTTTTGATGAACACTGGGGAAACTGCATCCCAGGTGTTTCTGATGAACTCTGAGAACTAGGTCTTTAGAATGTATAAAGCATTTTGAATAGAGAATCTCATTTAATCCTCTTATCAGATAGAGTTTTTTTAATCCCTTAAGTAACTTCATGATCTCACAGACATAAGTATCAATATAGGCAGGGATTTAGAAATCCAGTTATCCAAAACAACCCTTTTTTCTTTCCAGTATGCCATGATAAGGGCTGGATCTGTTATGGTGAGATTGGGCCCCAACTCCAAAGGACCCGGCCCAGGACTTTGTAAGTTTCCCTGACGTCTTAGGGCCACCATGACCTTATAATTCATCAGGATTCATTTTGGGAGCAGTAATCACTGCCAAATTTTTCACAAGACCTGGTTTCCTTGGAGAGAGGGAAAGAGAAGGAGACAACCTCAATGTTCCCCCCTGGGCCCAGCTCCCCAAGCAGTAATGTATTCACAGAGGACCTCATGCCTGGGAAGGACAGAGTAGCAGCAACAATTATCCTGTCTGGAGAGCTCTGTGTTTTAGGTGCATTGAGGGGTGGGCAGCATAGGAGAGACTGCTGCTGCTCCTTGGGGTGGAAGCAGAGGGAAGAGCATCCACAAGGGTTTAAGTCCTCACTTGGTGTAGGTTGGGCAATGCCCATTTGGGGGACAGGTTGACAGTCTTTTCAACAACATTTGGAGCCTGTGTGCACAGTGATGTTGAAGGGAGTTCACTGTGGTCAGTGGCTGTGAGGAGGACGTGAAGAAGATGAGGGGAAGGTACAAAAAGGGATAAGGGTTTTATATCTGGTGAACTAGTGTGAAGTATGGGGTGTGTTGTTGCTCAAGTCCAGTGACTTTCTCTGGGGCTGAAAATAAAATAGAGCCTCTTCCTTTGAAGTCCCCAGTAGAGTTCTATTTATCTCCAGGCTGTGGCTGCAGATGCTAGAGTCCAAGCAGGCCAACCTCTGCCTGGAAGAATGGAGATGCCTCTGCCATTACCGGCATGGTGGAATTTGGGGAAATGGGTTGACTGACTGCCGACTCACGCTCTGGATTGTGTCTTTCTGTAGGATGAAAGGCTTCCATGGATAACATAGAGGCAATTTCAGCTATCACCCCTGAACTTCGCCCCCTCACTCCTCTCACACACACACACACACACACACACACACACACACACATTGACCACTGAACTGTCTTGCCAAGTGAGTGACAGTATGTCTGTTCTGGGGACTAAATACAGTTGACACTATTGCTTGGATGGGTACAACTGGCAAGGACCATTTTTGCAGCTAATGCTGGAAGTGTGGCAATCAGAGAAACTGCCAGCTGTCTCACTTAAATTCTTAGCTCTCTCGCTCTCTTTTTTTAAAATCGTTTTGCTTACATAATCCACCCCCTTTTTATTTTCTAATTCTCTCCTTGCAAAGCTGCCACCAGAGGGGAAGGGCTGGGGTGGAGGGGGTAGCAATTACACATCGGTTTGGGGAGCATTTACATTTTGCAATTACAATTTAAAAATAAGTCTCGTTAATGATCTCCACATGTAAACGAGAAACCCTAGCTGACATACATACTCTCCTGGGCCCGCCTGCCTCCCCCGGAAGTCAGGGGCTCTGTGGAGGCAGAGGTACCTAGACAGACACAGGAGGAGGCTGAGGACCAGCATGTGAGGGATGGCAAGAACAAGCACTGTGTGTTTGAGGTTACTCGAGGACAGATATGGGCTGTGACCCTGGAAACCAAGAATTCTGGACTCCTCCTCCTCCCTCACTCATGCTGGGTCCTTGCCTAGCACCATAGATTTCTATGTCCTCAGGAGGCACCATCAGTGCTCTGAGCTGGGACGATAGGGAGCCCCAACTGCTGATGTCCTCTGAGGTGGGAATTTCCAAAGTCCTGTTGGGCAAACATAAATGCTAGTTTCCAAAAGCCAGCCAGTGTACCTGGGTACTCATGGATTTGGTAAAGGGGCTGATTCCATACTTAGGGTTTGGGAAAGGAACAGCATTCATTGTATCCCCATTTTGGAAAGGCATTTTTTCCTCTTCTCAGTTAGTTAACACACATTTATTGGAGCCCTCTGATTCCTTGAGGATATAGGCTTTGGAATCAGACCAACCTAGACTCCAATTCTAGCTCTGCCATTTGCTGACTGTGGGATCTGGGGCAAGTTATATAATTTAAGTTTTCTAACTATCACTGTCTTTCTGTAACTGTGGTGATATTTGCCTCATGAGGCTTCTGTGAGGATTCAATGAGATAATGTACAAAGAAGCACCTCATGCAGTGTCTGGGGCATCAGAAATGCTCGGAAAATGCCAGTTTCTTTCTAAGTCCCTCCTTAGGAGTCTCGAAAGCTTCCTCTTGCTCATATTAAAACTGCTTCTTTCCGACTACTGTAGACACTAAGGAAGGGCGATCTGGTCTGATTTGACCAAGTTTCCCCTCAAATTCAAGCCATCTGCATTCTGAGCAGCTCCTGAATGGACTCCCCAACCCTCAATCTCCCAACCCCCAATCCCCACCCCCGACTCTCCCATAGCATTCTCTGCTGTCTTTGGTATTGTGCTTCCAGTTCAGCCTTCAGCTCATCTGCCCTCTTCCTGACTCTGGCTGTTAACAAGCCCAGCTCTCTTCTGGACTCTAAGTCAACTTTGTGACCTTTTATCAGTCACTGCTCCTCTCTGGGCCCTTTTCTCTGTGAATGAGGAAGAACTAGGAGCTCTCTTAGGAGTCTTTCAGGCCTGACATCCTGTAGTCCTCAGATTTTCATTCCCCTCTCTGCTTCCCTCCACCAAATATTTGTGTAGAAAGTTGTTTGTGTCTTGTGCAGCTTCATCCAGACCAGCCTTAGGACTGACTACTTGTAGTAAAAAATGTATAGTTACTATTTGAAAAGAGATATTAGCCGGGCTCAGTGGCTCAGCCTGTAATCTCGCACCTTGGGAGGCTGAGATGAGTGGATTGCCTGGGCCCGCGGGTTCGAGACCCACCTGGGCAACTTGGCAAGACCTCATCTCTACAATAAATCAAAAAATTAGCTGGGTGTGGTAATGTGCCTGTAGTTCCAGCTACTTGGAAGGCTGAGGTGGAAGGATCGCTGGAGCCCAGCAGGTTGAGGCTGCGGTAGCCGGGAGTGGCCACCGCACTCTAGTCTGGGCAACAGAGTGAGACTCCAACTCACAAAAAAAGAAAAGAGATATACATTTTTTTTTTTTTTTTTTTAGAAAGCAGAATTTATTGAGAAGATAGAAAAGCTCCCACAGTGGGACGGGACCCAAGAGGGTTGCCTGAGATATTAATTTTTAAAAATTAGCCTGGTGTGTAGTGGTGCATGCCTATTGTCCTAGCTACTCTGGAGACTAAGGTGGGAGGATCACTTGAGGCCAGGAGTTCAAGGTTACAGTAAGCTATGATCAAGCCACTGCACCCCAACCTGGATGTCAGAACAAGGCCCTGTCTTTGAAAAAACAAACAAACGAACAAAAAAAGAGGTGTGCATTTTACAAAGATCTGGAAGAGGGAAGAGGACCCAGAACAGGCCAGGTGGCGTAGGGCAGAGAACACAGAAAGGGGCCTGCAGTCAGGAATTCCTTGAAGGCAGAAACTGCTTCTTAGTGGTTTTGTGTTTATTTTAATACAGTTAAATATTATGTTTTAAATATTGTTCTAATTGCTGTTTTAAACTTAGGTTTTATATGATAATCATATATTAACCTAGGCTACAGAACCTAGGTTATATGATCCATAGCTTTCCAGGTCAAAAAATAGATGCCCATCATTCTTTTCTCTTTTTTTTTTTTGAGTTAGAGTCTTACTCTGTCGCCCAGGCTGGAGTGCAGTGGCATGCTCATGGCCACCCCAGTGTCCACCTGCTGGGCTCTGGTGATACTTCCGCCTCAGCCTCCCAAGTAGCCAGAACTGCAGGTGCGCACTACCACGCCTGGCTAATTTTTGATTTATTGTAGAGACGAAGTCTTGGCAAGTTGTCCAAGCTGGTCTCAACCCCACAGGCCCAGGCAATCCTCCTGCCTTGGCCTCCCGAAGTGCTGGAATTACAGGCTAAGCCACCGAGCCCAGCCCACACCATTATTTTCAATTGCTGCATAGTTTTCTATGATATATGTTTAATTATGTATTTATTTTAGTTATTTTTAAAACTAGAAGTAAAGTATGTATGAGAGGAAAAAAGCAAACAATGTGAAATATATAAAGTTTCCCTTCCCCTCCACCTCTACCCACAAGACTCATGATGCAAAGTCAACCACAATGAATAGCTTCTGATTTTAGTTATTTGCTGGCCAACATTTATTATATTAGGTAGTATGCTTAAGTCCTTTCTTCTTAATTCATCTATGTATCCACTAACTCCATACTACAAAAGTTAAAGAAGTTAGCACATAATAACCCCCTCCAATTTGTATTAGTTTGATAAATGTCTACCAAACTATATTTGATATTATCTATTTTTAGTATATAACATTATATATAATATATTTACTATATATTAATATAAGTATAAATCTTCTAAATCTTAACAATATAAATA